AATAATTGCAGGAGAGACTTACATAAATTTGAAATTTTAAATTGTCGGTCAATTTTTTAAACACTAAATAGCATTCAAACCACTTTTTAGCTATAGATCACCTGAGCCGAAGGCTCAAGTGAGCTTTTCTGATCAAAATTTGTCCGTTGTCTGTTGTTGTCGTCGTTGACGTCGTCGTCGTAAACTTTTCACATTTTCATCTTCTTCTCAAGAACCACTGGGCCAATTTTAACCAAACTTGGCACAAAGTATCCTTGGGTAAACAGGGAATCAAATTTGTTCAAATGAAGGGCCACGCCGTTTTCCAAGGGGAGACAATATGAATTAGAGAAAAATTAATGGCAATTTTAAAAAATCTTCATCTGAAGAACCACTGGGCCAGGAAAGGTGAAACTTATGTGAAATTATCCTCAGGTAGTGTAGATTCAAATTTGTTCAAATGATGACCCCTGGGGCTAGGGTGGGGCTAAAATGGCTGACCCAAGTTTTACATAGGAATATATAAGAAACATCTTTAAAAATCTTCTTCTCCAGAAACTCTGGGTAAGGAAAGGTGAAACTCAAGTGGAATCATCCTTAGGTTGTGTAGATTCAAATTTGTGCAAATCATGACCCCCGGGGCAAGGGTGGGGCCAAAATGGCAGACCCAAGATTTACATAGGAATATATAGGAAAAATCTTTAAAAATCATCTTCTCCAGAACCACTGGGCCAGAAAAGGTGAAACTCAAGTGGAATTATCCTCAGGTAGTGTAGATTTAAGTTTGTACAAATGATGACAACTGGGGCTAGGGTGGGGCCAAAATGGCCGACCCAAGTTTTACATAGGAATCAATATAGGAAAAATCTTTTAAAATCTTCTTCTCCAGAATCACTGGGCCAGGAAAGGTGAAATTCATGTGGAATCATCCCCAGGAAGTGTAAATTTAAGTTTGTTCAAATCATGACCCCTGAGTCTAGGGTGGGGCCAAAATGGCCCACCCAAGTTTTACATAGGGATATATATGGGGAAATAAAATCTTTTCAAGTACTTCAAAGCGATGATTAGTGTTATTTATATGGAATCATCCTCAGGTAGTGTAGGTTCTAGTTTGTTCAAATGATGAACGCCTGGGGGGAGGGGGTTAAATTCAAGCCCGATGTGCTCAGGTAAGCGCTGTGGCCCATGGACCTGTTGTTTAATGGAAGGATCTTAAACAATATACAATCGATCAATCTAATGATATTTCATATTGGTGTTATCGTTAACTTTAAATTGCCACGAAGTTGTGTGAAATACCATTTGAAAGTGATTCCAACTACAGATACGAGGGTCGTTAAAAAATTACGCGGACTGTTCTATTATTTACTCTTACAGACGTCATATTGTTATAAAATTTTACAGAAATATGTTAAAGATTCCAATAAATTTTGGGCAAAATTTCTGTATTTTTAAAAAATTCTACTAAAATTATCGGTATGTTGAAATCGTTGATGGAGAGGTACGGCGCACGACAAAAAAATTGAAGCAAAAGCATGTGGATTCAAAAAAATCCGCGAAATTTTAACAATTTTCTCAAATATACCTTTAAATTGTTCTATTATTATGTATTTAGATTTCGGATGTAATATTTGAAGTAATAACAGATATATATAGTGATTTTTCCCTGATGCAATTCCCGTTAAAACAACTGTGAAAATGACGTCTCCTGAATTGACGGCGCACCATACTTTTGTTAAAATATGTGTATTGCTCGAGATATCGGCAATATAGATCCAAAATATGCATATGATAAAACATGTAGTAAACTAGGCTACTCGTGACATTCGCCTGCAAATAGCAAATTGAAATGTTAGACAGTTAGACCTCTGTAAAAAGCCTATACGGGAGGACGGGAAGAAGATTATAGTAATATAGACGAAAAGTTAACTTTATCCGGACTGTAAAGAACGTGATTGAGAGTCAACAATTTCATACTATATCTCATAAGTAGTTTTTGGTTTAAAAAAAGAATATTCTTTGCTTGTTTAATAGATTTTAAGCTTGACAAGAAATGGTGTTTTGATGTTGAGTAGATAAGGTAACTCAAACTATACAGGTACTCAAGGGAAAATGTTGAGAAAATGAAAGCTCAATTACATAGTATAAATTTTATAATGCTTGTGGCGTATAAGATTTTGCTGCGCCCTGACTTAATGGTATGCCCTGAAAAATCACTCAAAATTAATACCAATTTACAATATTTTGATATGAAATTTTGAAGATCATGTAAGTAAATACTCTTTCATATTAATTGTGAAATTTTGCCCGATTATGTCGTCAAATATTTCTTCTGTGCAACAAGTCTGCGTAATTTTTGAACGGCCCTCGTATAACCATACGATTTCTCTTTTCTGACATTTCCCTTTTTACGATTTCTTTCGATCATCGAACGAATACACAGAAGAGGCTTCTATTCACTAGGCTTTTTAAGCTTTGTCTTAGTTTCATTTTCAAATGATTTTTTAACCAGTTAAGTTATACAAGCATATTATAATCAATGTAAAGACGAAAACAGTTGGTCTGGCCTCAACTCGACATTTAGATATGGCGACGACGTACGAGGGCTATTCATTAAATAATGGCACTACATGTACTCTCTTTAAATTTTACACCTGATTGAATGGAAACACATGATTAAATGTTTAATGTCTTCCATTTTATTGATTTGATACGTAGTCACAAACTTTCTACAAAGCGATTTTCAATGAGAGAATTTTTTTCGGACCAACCCTGCGGACACTGTTAACATGAAAACAGATCGAAAGCCTCGAAAGGTCATTTTGAACACGAGGTTGTAAACCAAATATTGTTTTCTAATAAATATAACGTAAAAATAAATTTTCAAACACCTCTTGTCATTATATGAAAACTGATGTATCTACGAAAACCGTTTATCAGTGGATAAAGCATTTCAAACTGGGTAGGGATGCAGATGAAAATATTAAACATTCAGGAAGGCCCTAATCAGGTATTAATGAAAAATAAGTCACAGCAGTAAAAGTGTTATCGACAGAGAGGGCAGAGTAACCTAAAATCAGATCGCCAAGAAGCTGAACATTTCATCGGGTAACTTTTGTAAGATTTTAGAAGAAAGATTAGGAGTTAGGAAAGTATCTTCGAGGTGGATCCCACATATTTTAAATGACAGGCAAAAAGGATACTATTGCACAATTCTCAAAAACCTATGGAAATTAACGGAAAATGGGATAATATGTCAACCTGAAGTTGTTAAAACTCGGTTACATTTCTATGAACCTGAGAGGAAAACTGAAAACAAAAATATGGCTGACAAACAATGAAAACGACCCACCATTGCAAAACGCGGCAAAACAACAAGGAAGGTTTTGTATGCAATACTTTTCTATTCTAACGGGGTATTCGTCCAGATTCAATTAAAAATAGGCAAATTTGGTACTAAAGCTGTTTACGCGAAAAGAATATGCAAGCTGAGGTACAAAATCGTTACAAAAACAGAATACCAAAAGCTTGAATGAGGGGGAATCAATCTCTTGCATTATAATGGTAAATTTCATTCTTATGTCGATATGATATATCCTACGGAGCTTGAGATGAAAGATACTACAGAGTCTGACACATCTGTTTCATATTTGGATATTTTACTTGAAAAAGGCATTACTGGTAATCTAACAACCAAGCACAATTACAAACATGATGACTTAAACTTTATAATCGTCAACTTCCCTTGCTCCTGTAGCAACACACCTCAAGTAATCATTTTGTTAGTTCTATGGTCGATACAATAACCTTGTCAGCAAATACAGTTCATCATTGGGTCAAATGCTGACGTTTTTCAAACTAATTGTTAGTCCATTAATTAGGCACTTAATTGGCGATCGATTTTTCCCAATCATGACAAGGAGCACACGTTTGTCTAGTCAGCAGGGGATGCTCACTCATCCATGGCATCTAATTCCACCTCCAATGTTTTGAGGGTAAGTGTTTGCTCCGCTCCTGTTTTGTATTGTTTTATGGACTTTTGATCTTGAATAATGTTCGTCATCTCCATATAATTCATTTTAGTTGATTCGTTGGAATATGGAACTGATGTTCTTTTGAAAAAAAACATTCAATGGGGGATGCAATTTCATGAATAAAGTGCAAGATATAAATTAAAATAAAACCTAAAATTGTATTTTCGCTGAGTGTTGATGGGTGTCAATGACTAATCTAAGAACTAAATAATGAACTGAAACGAACAGGAATCAATGCAATACAGTTTTTAAAATTCGTCCATAATTTTGTTATGAAGCGCGTACGTATTTTGTATCCGGTGGTACTTCTAAAAAAAGAAAATGATTTTATATATTAAACAAGAAATTTGTTTTGATTTGTTTTAATTTTGCAATTAACATGTTTAGGGCTTTATAATTACAAAAGACTATATATTGCATCGTTATTTCATTCAAATAAAATATTCAAATTAAGATAAAATAAATTCAAATAATTTGCAATTGTTGTATCGTTGAACATTATACAACGTTATGAATTATTTTATTATGCATATCTTTTGTACTAGATGAAATATTGGTGCAAAAAGATTTTTATAATGAAAGGATTTTCAAATACAGCTTTTGTAAATAAGGGCATTTAATTCATTGTATTTTGTCAATATATAGGCTAGACTCTTCTTTTGAATAGGTTTACGTCACAAATTATTTTCAGAAACGAGTATGCTTCCTAAATATAAGCAATGGTAATGTACCCAATTCTAAAAATAGATATCATTTTTAGAAAACGAGTTTGCTTCCTAAATATAAACAATGGGAAGGTACCCGATTCTAAAAATAGATGTTAAATAAAATACGACATATACACGTAGACAACTTTTAATAGAATAGAATAAGTTATGTAAATTCATTTAAAAAGTATCTATCTATTTAAATCATCAATGAAAAGCCTAATAACAAATTCCTCTTAATTTGAGTCTCTATATAAGGTAAAGCATGTGATAATAAAAATTAGGGGAGAAAGTATGCAATTAAAAATATAGCTATAACCAGCGCTATTATAATGAATGATATACAAATAATTTTCTTCGTAGACATATTCTTATTTGTTGGAAATTTGGACACATTCCCCATGTTCACAATGACACTCTCCTTTCCGTGATTAACTTCTCCTGAACAAGAAATCGTGAATATCTTTTGGCTCTCAGTTTCTTTGTTAATGTTATTAATCGATTCTTTCACTATGTCATAATGATTTATATTCTTGCTGTGTTTCATGTTTACTTTGTCTTCTGACACCGCTCTGTCTTCAATAACTGATATGGTCTTTTCAAAACTTTCCCTTCTTTCTTCTAAAGAAGAAATCCTACTTCTTATCAAGACAGTTTCATACTTATCCTCAATCGGCTCTTCTTTCTCAATGTCAGCCATATTTTTGTTACCTTCCATGACAATAATGTCTTCTGAGATTGTTTTGTCTTCTTCAACTGTTTTCATCTCCACAAATGTCCCGCTTATTTCTTCTGATGTAGCTACACTTTCGTTGATTTCATCATCTGCAATTGATGTAGCATAAAAATGGTTTGGAAATGTTCCTGAATATTGATTTTCAAAGCAAATACTGTGTGAAGGACAAGCCGACGATGACTTTCTTTCATGGTTATTTCTCATAGTACCATCCAAAGTGGACAGAGAAATTGAACATTCATTGTAGCAATCTTCCATTTCCTCTACAGTTCGTTTCCTGACATCCACTGAGTAACTTTGGACGTTGTCTGATGATTTTTCTGATAAATTGTCCACTTGTGGTTTTGGGTATGTCGTTTCTGTATCTATGGCTTCCACTGTGTAGTTTTGTTCGCAATCTGATGTTTCTGATGATGTTTCTGACGAATCCTCTACTTTTGGTGACTTATATGCCAAACCTGTGCTTACAGAGTTTTGTTGCCTATAGGTATAACTTTCTGAAAAAAGACTTGTATCCACTCGCCTAGGACTTATCCCGGTATTTATATTTGAAGAGGTTCTCATTGAAGATTCCTGGTATATATTGAAAAGTTTTCTTGGGGACTCTATCGGTTTCCTGATCACTTCTGGCATCCTCCTCCATAGAAAACCTCCCGGATTTCCCCTAACATATATAGAAGTGCCATTATTTGTAGTTGTAAATTTGCTGTAATTAATATAACTTGTCTCCCTGACGTATATTTCACTACATTTTCCTCGTTTCTCTGCCTCTTGAAAAACCCACAATCTTCTGTTATCTGATGTGAACCAAAGACCATTTCTTTCCACCACAGAAATATTAGGTATAGAGTTAAAGTTACAACGCCCAGATAAAATATCATCAAGTGTTTCTCCTATGGGTATAAAAGGATGTGACGTACAACGGCCAAATTTACTCCCGATGGAATCTTGACTAAAACGAATTTCCAGTGGTTTAAGCAACATCCTTTTGCTAACGATGGATTTCTCTCAATAAATACCATGAAACTATCTCAACTAATGAAACTGATATTTAAATAAATCAATAGTATCGAAATTTCCAGCTTGTCTATTTATAGATTTTGAAAATTTCCAACTTCTTTTTTAAGAAGCTTCTATACACTGCAGATCGAAGAGCTCCAATACATGGTATTTTTATGCATTTAAATCTAATGTAAAATGAACTAAAATCTACATTTTTCAATGCATAATCAATTCAAACATTGTCAATTTTTAGTACTAATTGAATATTAAATAAAATACCTTTCTTCAGTTCTACTAAATAACAGTGATCTCGTTCAACAATACTTCATTGTCTTTGAATATATTTTATTGAAAAACTCGACACTCCAATTCTTTTCATAATTCATTGTCAAAACATTCTTATCTGTATATGAACGGTTTTATGATTTATTTCAGCAGCATGTGATATCAGTATTCGTTCTGAATTCACCGATCATCGATTATATATCAACCGTTTTCAGAAATAAAATTAAGCGGTATTTATACAGCCATCAATAAGTCATTCATTTTTATACGGAGGCTTAGCCTCCGCTCTATTGGTACCGCTCAGCTGCGGCGGAAGGGAATTTGCGATCGCCATCTACCGGCTAATCACGTTAACTTTGATTAGTGTGGTCCCCCGGTTCATCCTTTCCAAGGCAGGAGTACATGAAGCAAAACAGTTATTTTCGTTATTTCCCGATCATGACATGGAGCACACGTTGGTGTGTCTAGTAAGCAGGGGATGCTCACTCCTCCATGGCATCTAACCCCATCTCCAATGTTTTGGAGGTACGTGTTTGCTTTGCTCTAGTTTTGTATTGTTTTATGGACTTTTGATCTTTAATACTGTTCGTCATCTCTATATAATTCATTTCAGTTAATTCGTTGAAATATGGAACCGATGCTCTTTTTGAACCAAAAATTAAATGGGTGGTGTAATTTCATAAATATAGGACACAAAATAAATTAAAATATAACCTTAAATTGTATTTTCGCTTAGTGATGGAAGTGTGTGTGGGGGGGGGGGGGATGCGTCTTTTTTTTTCTCATGGATCTATAATTATCTCACACCTTTCACCTCACCTGGGGGATTTTAATTAGTTTGTGAAGGTCCTATCACATTAATACCCTATATTACCTAGATAGAAGAAATCTGCATCACTGTTTCATTGAAACTGACATAGTTTAAATGTTCAATTACTGACTCAGCAGAGAGCTGCGGCTTGTCTGTTTATAGCTCTGCTGCATCTATTTTTAGAATTCCTTATCACATGTTTCAGAAGTTAGATGGGACAAACTGACCCACATGTTTCTATGTTTACATGCATATGACCAAAACCAAAACAGTGGCTTGAATCTTACTTTGTGGTGTAAATTTAGTAATATTATGGCTAACCTGTGCAAAAAGGGATGCAATAAAACACTGTTGCAATAGTGACTCAAAGTATGCCCACAAAAAATATATGCAAGGAGTTGAATTTATTAGATTTCCCAAACCGTGGAAAGATATTGAAAAAGTTTTAAGGATGGGTGAATGCTTGTAAACGGTTCATTGGCCGATCCAAGGGAGGGGGGGGGGTCCGGGAATTGGAAGCCCACTTTATTTCCTGTCTAGTGGAGAGAGAGAGAATGAAACGTTTTCCGAGAATAAATAAAAATACATAATATTTGTACTTCTTACTTATGTATTGAATAGATAGATTCTCACACATTAATTTTCTTCCACTCACTTTTCTTTCAAATGATATGATTAAAACGGTTCTATATTATATAAACCGTTTTAATCATATCATTTGAAGGAACTAACATGCAACTCTTTGTTTTAAACCCAACCTGCATCCACCACGGATTTTTTTTCAAACTCCAAAAGAAAATTCTTTGTACTCTTTGGAAATGCTGCAAATCCATTCAATTTTAATTAAGGCTTCAGCAGTTTTTTTTATTTTTTCTTTAAATTCGGACTGGGGGACCAAAGAAATAAATGGACGTAAACAGATATTATTTACCGAAACCTAAGATCTTCCATACGTGTGTGTGAATCTTTGCTTGAGAGTGTGTATGGGATGGCATATTTTGCGGGGTCAACTTTCACCTACATGCAAATGTTTCTAAAGATATCACCAGTCAAGTAAGAATTTGTAAGTCAGGATTAATGCGCACTGGACAATAAATACCTGTAGAGCTCAGTACATTTCAAGATCTGCACCCAAACAGGCGTCTGTTCTGCTTGATATTTTTCATAATGTTGGAAATATTTGGATCTTCTTTATGTTCATACCCAACACAACAGAACTATGAATGAAAAGTTGAATATGCATGTAGATCTATGCATTGTTATATCTGAATGCTTGTATCTCAGCTCCTTTTAGTCCTGAAGAGTTAGAGATACTAAAGTACTTTTTGGCTTTCTCACATTTCAGGAAGCTCTTACCACGAGTCACTAAAGAATTGAAATTGATATAGTTTATTGCAATTAGATTGGTTTGTCCTTTTGATGAAAAATAGGAATTCAGTAAATTACATAGTTAAACATTAGACCACAGTAACATAAATGAAGAAGATGTGTTTGTGAAACACTGTTGCTCCCACCCCCTATATATCCCTAACCATTCAAAAGTCATGGCCAAGGTTAAAGTTTTTTCATAAGTATAGAATATCAAAGGTCACGGTCAAAAGGTCAAGTTTGTAAATATCCAATGAAAAGTCTTTTCACAAAAAAAGATATATGAAGTATTAAGGTCCTGGTATCTACTTTTCAAAAGATATGGCCAACTACCCTTAGGCAAATGTTGGGGTCAGAATATGAATTAAAAAATCCCAAAGAGACAAACAATCATGTTCACTCCAAGCCTCCGTCTATCAGTACTTTCAGTACTTTGATTCAATTAAAAACAGTTGAATTCAAAAGATATAACAAATTATTATGTAATGTAATTACATTTTTTTTTTGCCCATTGATCATTTTGAATTGGGCTCAGGTTTACAGGAAGCTCTTGAATAAGAAGACATATTGTACGTCTGCTTAATCGTTTTAAAAATGTGTCTTTGTATTCAAGTTGGAGTCCATCGTCGGGAAAAATTCGTTGAACGATAGTGAATTTCTTGATTTCTCGTCTGACATTCTTCTCCACAGATCAAGAGTGGTATATCTTTCATTTTTGATGTAATAATTTTCTGGTACATTTACTCTGATTCCGTCCTATTTTCCGCCTTACCTTTACCATTTGGAACATCTACAACCTTTTGTTATCTGCTGTATACAAGTGACCATTTTCGCGCATAGCAGATTTGGCAGGAATAGTGTTTACGACACATTGTCCTGAAAGTATATCATCTATTGTATTCGCTATTGGTCTGAAGGGATGCGAAGTGTAACATCCAACATTACCCCTGATGGAATTTTGACTGAATCGAATTTCTGAGGGCTTAAGGTAGATCCCTAAGATGTTGATAATATGAGAACACAATACTCGAAGAAAAGAACTCGACAAAGAGCCTTTTTATTCGAGCTCAGATTTAAAATATTGGAAGTTTTACGTTTATATTTAAATTTGTTTAATTTCTATTTTCATTTTCTTTTTTATTTCATGGATATGCATGTAAACATATAAATCTATATCCACAAACGGATTATCTTCCTTTTAACATGTTTTCTATACAATCCAAAGAATCAAGATCAGTATATGAATTGTCTTCATGCCATTTTAGACCAAATATGTCTAAAAGAATAACTTGGTAGAGAGTATTAAACCGACAAAATAACATCTAAATGAGATGCATGAATTATAAGATAAAAAAATGTTCAGTCTTTTCAAGAAGATTTTGGACAAATTATACAAAAATCCAGAGAGCTTCCCTGTTTTAGTGTATATATTTATTTGTTGTTTTGTTCAAATATTGGCCTCGGAATTGCAATATTGAACTTAATACATAATTGGACAAACGTTTGTGATGGAAAGTGTTCTCATGACTGAAGTTCCATTGTATTTTATCTTGTGCTTTGTTTTCCTGGCTAGCAAAGGATCACACTTAAAGGCATCGAACAAAGAGTAATGTTGGACTACGAAAAAAAAAATTAAAAAATAAATTCTTTTCCTTAATGTTATCAGGTTTCAAAAAGACGCCGTGACATGTAAATTCAAATTATAAAAATCCTTCCCAACAAAACAGATGGTCAAAGTTGTGTATGAAATATGTGGAGATAATGAAGACTTTTAAGTTCAAAGTTCCATTAAACAAAACAATTTAGATGTAGAGTACACCCGGACCTCTAAAACATCAAAGATGGGATACGGTGCCATGGGGGATTAGCATCCCATACCGTGTGCTTCTTGTAATAATCGAAAAATAACGGACAAATCGTCGAAAATTCGGTGTATAAATAATGACCTAACATAAGTTCCGTTAGGAAGTTGACAGTTGAAAGTAAAAATCGTCATGTTTATCATTAAACTTTGTTATTAGATTACCATTAAAGCTGAATACGATTCGTAGGGAATGTGTCCGCCATTTTTCTTCCCAAGTATTGCTACTTTGCAGACCCCTATATATAGGGCGGAACTTAGTCACTGTTCAGTGTAATCAGTCGACACCAGCGTAGACGGACGTATGCTATACAGGACTCGGTAGCGAGAATAATAACGTAATTCTTCGTGTATTGCAGGAAAGTAAGATACCAAAGCAAGATACCAAATAAATTTACAATTATAGTTGTATAAGTCAGTGCAGTATACAAACAACACAGATAAACGTAACTGCAATAAAATATAAACAAAGGTAATGCAAGATAACCAGCACGAACACGGGTCGCCATTCCATGCCGATACCTGTGACAATAAAGCAGTCAGGTGTAACAAATGCGACGAGTATACCCTAGTATTGATGTATCATAGATAATGCTATCGAAAATGGCGTATGCCTATTTACGAGTTGTGTTCAGCTTTAAGAAAAGATTGTGAAGAACAGGTTAATTATTAAGAATTCAATGGCAGTGTCCATGTTTTGCTATAGGAAACCAAAAATATGTGTCGGATCAAATAAAAGGTAAAGTAGGAGGTGCACAATGACATAATTTTTATGTAATAAAGATTTTGCGAAAGTCTGATCACTATTCAGTCAGTTGTATAAGAGAAGTTGCGTATAAG